ATACTTTTCTTTTCTCTAGCTTACTTTAAGTACATAATGTATATAGCATACAAAATATGTTTTAATTGGCTGTTTGTTATTGGAAGGCTTCTGGTAAACAGCAGGCTACTAGTAGTTCAAGTTTTGGTAGGAGTCAAAGTTATACACAGATTTTTAACTGTGCAGGGGTTGGTGCCTCTAACCCCCTATTGTTCATGGGCCAAAAATTATACATCTAGCAAAACTGATCTCCAATACAAAACACAAGCACATGCTCAGACAGACAAAAGCAGCTTACTACTATTAGGGGAACTTCTAAGGATATTCTTCAGGAAAGAGAAAATTATGCCATAGAGAAAGTATGACAGGTGAGAAGGAATGCTGGACTAAGACAATGGTAAATATGCATGTAAAACTATATAAGCATAAACATTAACTAGACAATTGTAATGTCTGATTTGTAGGTTTAAAATCTAGATTGAAAATACTAGACAATAGAGACTATAATTTAGGATGGATCAATGGAAGCCCTCCAAGGTCCTTGTATTGTTAGGGACCAAGGTTAAGAGAACGATTAGTTTCAGATCTTAAGCTAAATATAAATGCTAAAATTTCAAGGTAAGCTCTAGAAAAACAGAAACAGTATATAAGTACCATACTCTTCAGGAAAAATGAAAGAGAACAAGAGGGTCTTAATTAATCCAAATGAAGGAAAAAAAATAAGATAAAACTAAGGAAATAAAAAAATAAAGTTCAAATATATTTGTAAAATAATAAATATAAATGGACTATATCTATCAAGACAAAAATTATTGGGAAATTATTTATTAAAATATCCAACTATTAAGCTATTAATGAAAAATATGCCTATAACCTAAGGACAAAGTCAAAATGTAAAAAAAAAATGAAAAATTCCATATAATGCAAATACTTCAAAGAAATTTGATATATTAATATCAGAAAAAAAAACAGAAAAAATCATTACTAGAATCCTTGATAAAAGATTCAATTTTCTAAGAAGGTAGCAATTTAAACTTACATAGACTCAATAACAACCCCTGAAAATATGATAGTAAAAATTGACAGAAATATAACTCAGGGACACCTGGGTGGCTCAGTGGTTGAGCATATGCCTTTGGCCCAGGGCATGGTCCTCAAGTCCCAGTATCGAGTCCCACATCAGGCTCCCTGCATGGAGCCTGTTTCTCCTCCCTCTGCCTATGTCTCTGCCTCTCTGTTTCTCATGAATAAATAAATAAAATCTTTAAAAAAAAAAGAGAGAGGGAGAAGTCAAAGTTTATATCACGAAGCATCTCCCAGTAACTGATAAGTCACTCAGAAAAAAATTCATTAAGAAAAATGAAAGATCTAAACCCAACTGACAAGCTTAAAGTAACAGATATATAGATATTATACCAATATTAATATACTGTTTTCAACCTCACATCAATGTGTAAAAAATGACTACCATCTATGTCACCATAATTTCAAATAATTAGTATTAAATAGAATTTGACTAAACACAAATTTAAAAATAAAAAACAGGGGCACTTGGATGGCTCAGTCAGTTAAGCATCTGACTCTTGATCTCAGCTCAGATCTTGATCTCAGGGTCCTGAGTTCAAGCCCTGTGCTTGGTTTATTAAGTGGAGTCCACTTAATAAAACAAAAAACAAAGAGATAATTTTCAAAATCACTGAGTCATAAATGTGCACATAAATGTGCAGTCACAATTCTACATGTCTGATGAGTAAAAGATGAAATTGCAATGGTATTTAGAAAAACACGCAATGTTTTCATTAAATGGCCAGACCCACTTTACATCACGTTAAAAAAATTTTAAATAAAAACCATAGAGCAAACCCACTCAAAGTTTGTGGTTATTTTCTTAAATGGTAGCAATTTTGGAAGAAGCTAATTTCAGACAGCAATAGGGCATAAGGTAAAGGCCTAAATAATGCAGTTTGGGTAAAGCCAATATAAATTCTAAGTTAATCAAAATATCTGCAACACTTATTTCTTCTCCCACTCTTTTTTGTTTCGTTTTTTGTTTTTATGTGAGAAAAATAAACCCTATTTCTGAGTCACAGGTAGATTTCCTTCAACTCTTCAGCATTCCTATGTTTCTGCAGTTTATATTCATTTTCAACACCTGGCATATACCAATGAGACATTATAAGAATAGGATGATCAGTCTTAGAAATAAAAGAATAAACAGGAGTATAGCAAAGCACTTTGCCCTCTCAACCAGTACTTTTAGTATGATAAATACAGAATCAATCGATAAAATATTAAATAAAAGATATTTAGTATCAGCCAAAAAATTTAGTATCAGCATAACCAAGAGAATCATATACACATGGAATGTCTGAAAGCAAAGTTGAATTCTAAGAAGTGCCTGTAAATCATTAATGAAATATGTGTGCTCAACATAGAATTCATGATTACTACTCTTCTATTCTGGGATGATAGCTTAAAAGCTACACCTAAGTAATTTGTTGTACAACATTACAGAGAGGAAAACTGGACTCTCTCCTGGAGGAGCATGCCTCAAGTATCTAAATTTCCAATCACTTAAGAAAAAAATAGCTATTCGTCCATCACACCACTCCTAGATGTGAAGACGAAAATTATTTAACAACTAGCCTACTCTTGAAATAGAAATGTCTTTTTTTAAAGATTTTATTTATTTATTTGACAGAGAGAGCACAGACAGGGGGAGCAGGAGAGGGAGAAGCAGGCTTCCCACTTGGCTGGGACACCCCCTCCCTCCTGCAGTGATGTGGGGCTCCACCCCAGGAGCCTGGGATCATGAGCCAAGCTGGAGGCACACACTTAACCAACTGAGCCACCCAGATGCCATGAAAATAGAAATATCTTAAATAGCAGCAGTTTGTAAAATATCCTTATCTGCAAACACACTGTACACATTTGTTATTTCCAACATCATTCCTAAGATATGTGAGTTGTCTTTTAAACTTCTTCCCATTTATTTTCATTAACACCTACACAGTACATTTTTTTTTCTTTTTTTACACGGTAGATTTTTAAAAGCCAGTAAAATCAATATAGTTTCTGGAATCTAAATCTTAACCAAGATACCACTGTACTTAACTTTAATGACCAAGCATCCCTTTGTTTTCGAATACTGAAAATCACCAAAGCATTTCTTTATAAACAGAAATATTACTAATAAGTGGTACCACCATACAGTTGTTCAAGCCAGAAACCTGAGAGGACTGCCATTTTGCGCAAATAAAAATACAGAACACCTACTTAAATCTGAATTTCAGATAAGTTACCAAAAAATTTAGTATTAAAAAAATTTAGTGTAAGTATGTACCAAATACTGCATGGGACATACTTATACTAAAAGTTTTTCACTATTCATCTGAAAATCAACTTTAACTAGGCATCCTATATTTTATCTGACAAGCCTAGCTGGGATTCTCTCTATGATATCTTCTATATGAAATCCACCACACCAAGACCTGTCCATTCTACTTCCTAAAAACATCTAAAACCCATCCACCTTTCTTCATTTCTTCTGCCCCCATCTTGGTCTAAGCCACCAATCCAAAAACTCCCAATCAGACTCTCTGCTTCTTCTACCTTTATAGAAATATCACTTACACTAAATGCAGCAGTATCAGTTTAATACGAAAAGAAATAAAAGCTAACTTCAGGTTTCTCCTTTCCTGGGGTCATTATTTGGTAGTGGCAGAAATCTAAAATCTTGAAAACAGCATGAAACCAATGAACTCACAATTCTGAGGAGGTGAGGCCTTTTGTTGGGTCACCTCCGAGGCAGTCCCAAAGAAAGTTAACAGTTCTCTTAGGTATGCCTGAGCCAATGATCTACATCAATCATTGTGCTAAATAGGTGTTTACTGCCACAAAGGGATGAGCCAGGAAAAATCTGTGCAGAAATAAAGCTGGCTTAAAATATTCTCGTCTTTCAGAGTGCATTCATTCTTAGATTTACAGAGACTGGTTGGTTCTAGCCCACACCTGATTGTGAGACAGATTCCTTTCATCCAACTGGTATTCTTTAGACACCTTTTGGGTTAAAGTCGGCTTATCAGTCCAAGATTGCAAAGCCAGGGAGCAGAGCATTAAAAAATTGGGGCAGTGAGCAAGTAAGATTCAAATATATCCAAGACATGCGGCACCAACTTCTTCTGATTACTGATGCTCAGAACAGTTGCTGCCTCCTGACAGATGAATAAATGTTTTGGTTGTGAGAGCTACAGTTATCTCCGTGCACTGCTAGCCTGTCACAGTGATCAATAGATACCAACAAAGCAGATTATATGCTGAAACCTCAGTGCAGACTCCAAGATTTGTGTGACACTGCAGAGCTGCATAAACTAACCAAATGAAACAAAAATTACAGCTATCACATTAACTGGCAGGTCTAAAGAAAACAGGTTTTCCTCTATATCAAAGAGGCCACAGAATTGTTACAAATGATTCTTTGAGCAAAGAACATGATGGCAATTCAAGTGTTTCTAAGTTCTCACAATGCAAATTTGCACATTCGTCTATTTAGTACAGAATACCCCCAATTCTTAATGATGCTGGTACAGAACAAAGAAACTCAAGCTCCTTCATATGAAACAAGCCCTATAAATGAAGTCGGAAGAGCCTCTACAAGTGAGTTACTTTATTTAGGGTCCAGTTATTATTCATTATTTAAAGATAAACGTTTCGGGATCCCTGGGCAGCTCAGCAGTTGAGCGGCTGCCTTCGGCTCAGGGAGTGATCTCGAAGTTCCGGGATCGAATCTCACATCGGGCTCGCTGCAGGGAGCCTGCCTATGTCTCTGTCTCTGCCTCTCTCTCTCTGTGTCTCTCATGAATAAATAAAATCTTAAAAAAAAAATAAGCCTTTCTGTGGATAAAACATAATCACAAAACCAAAAATGTTTTCCAAGATATGCTTTTTTTTTTTTTTTTTTTGGATACATCTTGTCATCTTCTCTATGGTGGGGGGAGTGAAATTTTAAACCATGGAACCATGGATAGCCTGACCAGGCCAACATTAGAGATTAGAAAAGGACATGAATGTCTGGATGAAAGCAGTCAAGTCACATCTATAAAACAAGTGTGGATGCTGCAAGACCACACACAAGCCTTAAAGTCTCCAGCCTGTATTTCCATGTGTAATCTGCTTTGCTGGTGTCCACTATCGGGGCCAAGGGCAGGCTGCCCCAAAATGTGCCCCTCTGGCATATAATTTCAAATAAAAGCTACTTAATAGCCAGTGCAAGGTCACTCAGACCCTCCTCTGTCCTCCTAAAAGCAGGAAACAAATGTCCCATGTGAGAAATACCCTCCCTGTGCTAAAAAAAAATAAATAAATAAAAATAAAAGCCATCTTTACCACCTGAGATAAGGACTTTAGAGCCAAGAAAGATAAACAAGGGATCCCTGGGTGGCGCAGCGGTTTGGCGCCTGCCTTTGGCCCAGGGCGCGATCCTGGAGACCCGGGATCGAATCCCACATCGGGCTCCCGGTGCATGGAGCCTGCTTCTCCCTCCTCTGCCTGTGTCTCTGCCTCTCTCTCTCTCTCTGTGTGTGACTATCATAAAATAAAAATAAAATTAAAAAAAAAAGAAAGATAAACAAACCTTGCTGTTTTCTAATCCACTCCCTCAGCCTAAATTCTGCTTAGAATCCACTAATTAAAGCCCCCAAACACCTGTTTTCTTTACCCTGTCGATTCCTCACAAACATACTGTCTCCTTGTCCCAAAAATGCATAAAAACTGCCTGCCTGCCTTGGTCATTTCTTTAGGTCTCTACTCTAATGCTGGGCCTCTGCACGCGGGTAGTAAAACTTGGGTTTCTCCTCCCGTTAATCTATTTTATGTGAATTCGGTCCAGCTGTCAGCCCTTCGAGGGTGAAGGAAGGTTTTCCTTTTCCTCCCCCGCAGCGCTGATCACGCCACAAGGTGACCTGCTAGCGGCCCTCCTGGAGAACTTGCTCTCACGATCAAAATCACGGAAAACGGCTCATTCCCGGTCCCTGCAGGCACCGGGCAAGGGAGTCGCTTCGGCAGAAGCCGCGCGGGGCGCGGGTGAGCGGGGAGCGGGGCGCGGGTGAGCGGGGAGCGGGGAGCGGGGAGCGGGGAGCGGGGAGCGCCTCCGCAACGACGCCCCTGCGGGCTGAGAAGCAGGAAGCGGGAGCGGTGCTGCTCGGGCCCGTCCGGGCGTCGGCTTCGTGGGGCCCCAAATCCGGCGCGGGCTGGGGGGCGGGGGGCGGGGGGCGGCGGAGCGCGGGGCCTCCCCGCGGACGCTGCGGACCATGCGGCCGCCGCCCCGGAGCGCGCCTGCGGGCCGGACCTCGGCTTCCGGCAGAGCAAGGCCTCGGCGGCGGCGCGGCGCGGCCCAGCCCGGCCCGGCCCGGCCAGGCCCGGCCCCGCGGGGAGCCGCGCGCCCGCGGCCTTGGCTCTGCACAAGTTGGCGGCGAAGGGCGCCGGCGAGCGAGGCACCGCAGCCGCCCGGTGCAGGCGGGGCCGGGGCCGGGGCCGCGCGGGGGGAGGCCGCCGGCCCGCGCACCCCGCCCGCACCCTCCGCACAACGCGGGGCCGCGGCCGCCGGGACCCGCCGAGCTCGCCCCGGGACCGGAACGCGCCCCCCCCCCCGCGGCCCCGCCGCCCCCCGCGGTCCCCCGCGGCCCCCCGCGGCCCGGCCGGCGCTCACCTCTCCCTGGAGTAGAGCTGCAGCTGCTGCTCGCGCCGCTGCTTCCGGATAAACGCCATGGAGCGCGGGCAGCGCGGGCGCCGGGGTCCGGCGGGACTGGGGACGCGGCCGGGGGCGGGCCCGGAGAGCCGGCTGCGAGGTCCGCGCCGCCCCGACCGCCCCACGCTGCGCCCCGGGCCCGGCGTCGGCGCCGCGCTCAGCCGAGCGGGCGGGCGTGGGGACTCCGGCGGCGCCGTGACTCAGGCCCGGGCGGGCCGCCCGCCCGCCCGCCCGGGGCCCCCGGGGCCCCCGCGCCCACGTGCCGCGCCCGCCGCCCGCCGCCCGCCGCCCGCCGCGCCCGGGGCCCCCCACCTCTGCGGGTGCGCCCCCGGGCCGCGGGGCTCCCTTCTCTTTCTCTAAGGGCGTGCTTGAGGCAACTCACGCAGCGAGCAGCCCCCCACTTAGGGTGTACCTTGGGGGCTGTGGCCCCGCACTCGCACCCCGCTTCGGGGTCGGCCGCCCCGCCCGAGCCTTCGGTTGCCGCCCCCGCCCCCGCCCCCAGCCCACCGGCAGGCGCCGCTCTACCTTCCCTTCCCGCCTCTAGGAATTTGCCTCTTCCCGACACTCCGTACAAATGCGATCGTACACCTGCAGCCTTCTGGGTTTGGCCCCTTCCATTTAGCATAGATGCTTTTCAGGTCCATCCGTGTTTCGGTATTTCATTCTTTTTTTATTGCCGGAGACTCTCCCAGTGTGTGGATATGCCACATTTTGTCGATCCTCTCGCCGTGCGGCTCACGTGGACAAGGCGGCTGAGAACACCGTCGGGCGAGTCTCTGCAGCTCAGATGCTTCCATTCCTACTGACTACATACCTAGGAGCGGGACTGCCGGCTCATGCGGTCGCTCTGTGTGTGAGTGTTGAGAAACTGCCAAACTGTCTTCCAGAGCGGCTGCACCATCTTACATGCCCAGCAGCAGCTGCGTGTTGGGGCCCCAATTTTTCCACGGCCTTGCCAACACTTACTGTCTGACTTTCGGTGATGGCTCGCCTAGTGGGTGTGAGTGGTATCCCGCTGCCTTATGACCGACTCCTTGATATATCCTGAATCTGAGCCTGTGGTTGTAAAGGGATTCTTAAATAATAAACTTCTAGATTACATATATGGTGACACTTACCTAGTATCGCCTTACGGATCAGGTTTTGCAGAATAAGGTTTTTAAAGGCTTCTATGTAAATGTGTATTTCAGCTCACTAAGATGCCGCAGGACCCTGAAGGGGAGATGGAAAGCCGAGATTAAAAGCCAAGATGGATCTTACTGAGTTCGATCCTAGCAGCATTGGGAAAATGATACCCATAAAGTGGGCACCTGTTAGAACTGTTTTTGAACGAGTGAAGCTGCATAAATACCCGGTAACTTGTCTTAAGTCCCTTCCACGTGATTCTCATGTGCTGCACAGAACCTGTAACTGTAAAAGCAGGGCAGAGACATTAGCTCCGTGTACCGATAGGAAATCGTGCTTGATCGGAGTGCCAGGACGAGTGCGCCAACAGATACGTGGTGAGGTAGGATAACGAAAGTTGCAAGGGGGACACATGATCGCTTTCTATATGAGAAATAATACAACACATGTTATGAATTCAGAAGAGAGGTATCACTTCGGCTGGAAGAAGGCAAGAAAACAGCGCTCAAGTTTTCTCCTTTTAAACGTTAAAGGGTAATGTGATTCTTTTTGGGTGGAGAGTGACAGTTTCTCCCTGACCAAACTTTAGCCGGGCCTCTTTGAACCTTCTTCTCAGCTAGGCCTCAACCGTGGCCTATAAAAACTACAGACTCCCAGCACAAATGATTTTGTCCACACTCTCCCCCGCATTAAAAGACTTAAATCAACACTAACATGGTTTCTAACAGCTCAAGGCCTGGTGCTTGGGATGACCCTAGCCTCCTTTAAAGTCCCTTTCTGAGAAAACTCAAGGTTGCCCAAAGAATCTACCGTTTGTTGTAGCCAACACCTAACATAAGCCCCTGACTGCTGTTTCGTAAGCATTTACTAAGAGGGGTTTACAATGGTGAATTCTTTCTCTGGATCTTTGAGGTAGGCATATGTGTACCTCCTACAACTCAGGAGGGCCTTTCTCAAGGACTTGAAAGCCATTCCTTTGAAATGTAATCATCAGGAAGGATCGGCTTCTGTCTCTCAGGCCCCAAGATAATTGCCAGCTAGCAGATACAGATACAGCATTTACACTGATTAATTACACTTTGTAATTTTTAACTTCCCCGGCTTTGTCTCTGACTAGAGGAGGGGAAGAAACTTGCTCAAAAGGATCCTCTTGAACAATAGCTCAGAAGAAGATCGATGCTTCTGCTGTCACAGAGTTTGTGTTTGTGGAGAATTAAGCCAGAATTGACTTGATGGGATGAGCCCTGGGTGTCATACCAAATGTTGGCAAATTGAATTTAAATTTAAAAAATAATTAAAAAAAAAAAAACGAGATGGAATTTCCTCAGTCACCACCCTCCGCCTCCAAATCATCCAGCCTACTAGCATCTGCTCCCTTGCCTTCATTACTGCTATTTTGAGATATATTTGCTCCTACAAAAGGCCAACTTCTTTCTCAACAATGTAGCCTTTATAGTTATGTTCTTGTCTCTTTTCCCTTTCTCGCTCTTGCTTTGTCAATTTCTCCCTCACTTTTGAATCATTCCCATCCAAATATATAGTTTAAAAAAAAAATGTTGCTTTAATTCCTTCTGGCTCCCTATGCTTAGCAAAACTTTTTGAGACACCTGTCAGAATAGGTTGTCTGCATTTTCTCTCTCTTCAGTATATTCTAACCAGGCTTCTGTTTCCATCACTCGTCTGAAATGTTGCCAAGTCACCACATTTACCAGGCACTTTTCTCCTTTCAACTTCCCTGAACTCTCAGCAGAACTCGGTATAGGTGAACATTGCATTTCTCATAGTTCCTTGTGGAAACGCCTTCCTCCATGGCTTCCAAAGTCCCACAGTTTCTTTGCTTTTTTTTTTTTTCCCCCCTCTTCCCTGGGTCTTTCCTCTTTCTCAGTATCCTTGGTTGGTTTCTCTCCTGCCTAACTTCCCAAGGTTGGTTCTCTGCACTCACTGTACAGGCCATTGTAACCTGTGCTGTGATTGGGTGGGGGAGAGGAAGGAGGAACCAGGATAATGTGTTAGGTTTAGGTGTGTGAGGATGAACTTGAGTAGCAAATTTCCAAGGCTCTACTATGTGGGTACCTACCAGGGAAGACGTAAGGGAAAATTTCAGGACATGGAGCAAAGTAAAAGACCGCAGTGGAGGATGAGAGACAGATGACTTTGAAATGTACAGTCCCTCAAGAAATGGGAATTTTGGACAGAACATTGAACTCCCATAAGACCACTTAAAGCCCTAAGCCCATGTGATCTTTAGTTGTTTACAAATATGGCTTGTGGTAATATTGCCTACCTCAAGTGAAGGTGACTGCGCATCCGGGAAATACGGTGAAGCTCTGGGAGGGACCTTATCTCTTTACCCCTTCCCCCGTTATCCTCCTCATAAAACTCAGAGCTTTATTCCTTTAAAACAGTTTCCATTCAAAGCTATTTTGCAATCACCAAAAAAAATTTTTTTGAACTCTCAGTAGTATATTTACTTTTATTTTACAGACTCTGAAAACCTCAAAAAGGTTGTATTCATCAATTTTTTAAAAATTGTGTTTATTGCAGATGACGATAAGTACATTTATGTACCTCCCATTTGCAAGAAATTCATCAGCAGAGTAAACAAGAACGTTGTCTTTATCTGTAAGATAAATATCTTTCAGTAATGCATATTTCTGAAGAATGTCTACTTATTTTTAAAAATCTTATGAACGCATACATATTTAATTACCACCCTTTCTTAAGTTAGAAGTGGTAGCATACTTTTTTTTTTTACCTAGACAAAATGGCTAATCATCATTCTCTTATATATGTTATGTCTTGCTACCATTATGTCTTGAAGCTTCCTGTTCTCTGCTTGATATGTCATTTTGCCTTTCACCCAACATTTCTCCCTGTTGAAATCCTACCTAAGTTTCCGCTCAAGACTTTGAGGCCTTCTCCAATGCATCCAGGTGGAATTCATCTACCACCCATTCACTCAGTACATATTTATTTCATACCAGCATACATCAGACATAGTCGTGGGCACTGGATAGTGACTTCACAAAGCTCACAGTCAGATGGGGATTTTAACAGTGATCCCAGTCTATGTTATATTATTGAGGCCTTTCTCTCTATTTAGGTTAGAAGCTCCTTGGAAATAGGAACGGTGACTTGTTGGTCTTTGTATCCACATTACCATTCACCACAGTGTCTTGCACTTAGTGGTCGTTCAGTAAATATTTTTGTC